TACTGATCCAAACACAACTGGCATAAATTATTCCAATGGCTGGGGGGGAGGGGTGGGGGCCCGGGGGTGGGGTGGGGGGGGAGGTGGATGGGGGCTGTATAATTGCCATCAATCAATCAGGTTAAACAATCAAAACAATTTGCTGCTGCTGCTGCTGCTTCTAGAGCTTCCTTGACCTTTCCCTCCCCATCAACACAGGTGACCACCTATCCACCCCCCCACCCCCCCAGCAGCCTGCCTGACAAGGAACCGGTCTTGTTCTCCTTAATTGGGATAACATGTGCAAGTGGTTAGCACTCTGTCTGGCACAACATAGCTGATAATGACTGATGAGTTCCTTCTTCACTCATTCTCCTCTTCTGGACCTTGATAATTCCTTCTCTCTTTTGAGTCTGGATTTTCCCCATTTCCAAACCCATGCCTCTTGGCCAAAGCCAGCCTTAACGCTACCCTGAGCAGGGGAATGCCCTCTTTCTCAGTGTCTCATCAAGAAAGGAAGAAAACATCACCTTCTAGCCTGAAATTAATCTCTCCAATTCTGTCATGGTATCTGAAATCATTCCATTGGAGAGCAACTCCCTTTTTGCTCGAATTCTTTCACTGCAAGGTGCTTATTAAAATGCAAAGGGTCCTGAGAAGAGCAACATTATCAGTTAACAACACCTGATCTGCAAGGAGGGGTACAAACAAAAATGCCTGTGGGCAAGGGCCTGGGCATGAGACATGAACCAGGTATCCAGGTGGAATGAATTTCAGAGGTAAAAGGGCTTGGATGCAGAGGCAGAAAACAGACAAACCTCACCATTTTGCCAATGGCTTCTTTCGGTGACCACTCTAGTTGGTCTCATCAGTGACAAACACCTTCTCAATCTTGGCCGCACTTGGAGACTAAGAACCCTGGGTTAAAGCCCTTTGTTTACAATGGGTACTGCAGACGCGGTCACAACAGTTTGGCATGTGCTCAAGGAACATTAGTCACTTGAGCTCCCGTCTCCCCAGACGCAGTCTTCTCGAAATTTCAGTCCAACAGTTGTTCTTACACACAGCGACGGTCGTGTCAAACCACACAGCTGAACTCTGTCCACCTTGGAGGCTATGAAATCCTTTCTTAGTTTGTTCCTTTCTAGTTTCCTTCTCTTGCATTCACATATTAACACAGGTGATTTCCACCGTATTTTGTGGTAAAACTCCTCTCATGTCCATGAAAATTTCCTTTCCAACCCAAGCATTTTCTTGCCTTCATTTACAAGTTTAAAGTTATCATAGTTACTATGGAGGCGATGTCTGGTCTTTTCTCAGACCCTCCATACTGCTTTTATTTGTGGGGAAACAGGAAACAAGACAATTGTTTTAATTGGCAAGAACTGTTGCATCTCCCAGTCAAACCAACTATTTTACAGATGAATTCACTAAAATCCAGAAATATGATTACAAACTTAAAGACAGCTTACAATGGAGCAAAGGGTATGGGTTCTGTAAGTTTCAGAACTTACCAAAGTGCTTAAGTTTCGTCAAAATTTGCCCCAACACTATGGTGTTTTTGAAAATCTTGTATTCCTACCCTTTGCCAAAAAATTCATTATCACCAATTACAATTTTAAGTTTTCAGTTGGCCACATCATGAGCACTTAATGTAAGAAGTTAGGATAACTGCCATTGTTTTAAAATTCTTAATTATAGACATTTTGAATTAATCACAATTTTCTATTCCTATGTACTTTAAGGTAATTCAAATTATTTACTTTAATAATTCCCAGTAATATTCAAGTCAAACCTCTGTTAAAATAGAAGCAAATTCACAGTTTATAAAACAATAGAATTACAGTGGGAAGGATTAAGAACAGTGATGTTCCGGTAAATATTTAACAACTAGTTGCAGACAGAAGGGCACCCAATTTGCAGCATTTTCCAATTTCCATAGTGCAAATACTTAGCCCAATTTCCAGTTACTAACATGAGGTCAGGGATCACAGAATGGGAAATATGTACATACAATGGATTCTCATGGGCCCATGCAAGTTGGCACTAACACATTCTGATAGGAGGGACCAGATAGTACAGCCTTTTCATTCCCGAACCCTTTTCACATCACCAACATTTATAACCTGCTGTATCCTGAGCACATAAGGACATAATACCTGTACATTATTATCTTTATACATTTATCTACCAACTGTACTGCAGAAGCTTTCCATCAGTTTTTAGATAAAAAACACATATTAAGAGATGTTTCACCTCAGGGCCCACCCCATGCACACACACATGTGATGTATACTTACACAAACACATAAAACAAAAACAGAAGCCTCTCAAGATAAAACACACTCTCATATACGGAATGCACTAAAACTCTCAATTCTTTTCCCTTTTTTTCTTCATTCTTATCTTGACCCACTAAATTGGATTCGTACCCCACCATTTGGGTAGAGGTCCCAAAATTGAGAAACAGTGCTGAAATAGACTAAGCTTGTTGAGGACACAATTATAGGTCATTAGTCTACATCTATCCCGATGTCTAGTAGTAATTACTGCGGCCCAATAAGGTTAAATAAGTGTCTAAAGATGCACCTGCCATCAGTGACCAAAGATCCTTCAAGGCAAGTGATAATTCATTACATAGAATCAGGATAGTCATGGCTTACAAGTGAAAACTAAAGTCCCTTCCACGACAACCCCCCCTTCACCCGAAATTGACAGAGAAGTTTTTAAGAAACCTGTACCGACCCCATCATTGACGAAAATTTGGTCCTTCATCCTCTGTGGCCCTGTGACCAACCTGCCCATTTACCCAGGAAGACAAGGCAAATCCGAGCAATCATCATTTCCCTACTATTGATTATATTCAACAGTGTTGAAAAGGTACCCATCGTTTTCACAAAAAAAGAACATTTCCAGTCCTGTTGGAAAAGGAGCTATATAATGCCAATTACTATTATATAAAATATACATACTTCTACTATATAACATACACTAAGACCAGCTTTCTAATAACCAGAAACCAAAGACTGAGTTGCAGAAAATACTCACTCAGGAAAATGAAAGCTGAATCCATGGACTTTTCTCTTCAATGTGTTCATGCACCACATGCTTTTTTATAGGTGCTATTAAATGTACACTATAGTTTCAAGACAATCCAGATAAGCGTCTTCACTAAAATACACAACACCATTAATCATCTCAGTGACAGTGCTCCCATTTAACATCTTGGAGATTTCCTCCCCTTCTTCATCATTTATTTGCCAATATTTCCTTGTTATGAATATCCCCCTAGTGACTTTCTCTGGCAGTCACAGCTGTGCTGCCTACTGTGTCTACCTTGACTACAAATAACACAAATTCTTTATAAAAAAAAAAAAAAAGCCAGGTCTTGAGATAATACCTACAGTAAGAAGGGTAACCTTCCTGTGGGCTTAATTCCTGGAGACCTCATCCAGGCTCCCAACTTTAAATCGACAAGCCTCCGCCCCTAACCTGATAGTAATTTCAGACACGTGAAATTGGCTTAATTACCAATAAACAACAGTTGGCCGTTGGCCTCCAATTACTTGAATGGTCAACAGTCAACTGCTGTTTTCAGATGGTCCGTAAAGAACCCCCTTCTTACACAGCAAAAGGCTTTTTTGAAGTATCCATGAATCACAACAAAGCCACAAAACCACGAGCAAATTACAGGAACCTGACCACCAAGAGCCATAATAAGGATGACTCACAGATAACAAGAATTTTTTTCTTAAATAATCAGTAACAATTTAGCATTATAATGAAACCAATTCTGATGAAAAGAATAATGCTATCGAGACAACAGAATATCAAGAAGCCAGAGAGAAATAAGTAGCAAAGATACAGGGAAGAATCCCAGCTCCATCCAGTATCCATTTTACGTCCCCTTTAGAGAGCAGTCTTCACTGGCTCCAGAATTTGCTGATTATAAAATGGAAACCATGAAAGAAAATGCTGTACAACCAAACAGAGGAGTAAATGAAAGTAGAACTCACCAGCTTGTATTCAAAAAAGGATTTTTAAGGAAAAAGGGTATTTTTTTTTCAATAACAGAACTCGACTACAAAAGAAGTTAAGAGTTTGAAGACAAAAAACACACTGAAGTATATTTGCAAAGTCTATCCGGAAAGTCTAATGCCTTCAGGGTAACTGTTTACCTTATTTTCTATTTTCTACAGAATAACTTAATTAATTAATGGTTACTGTTGCTTCAATCAGTATTCCACAACTTTTATGGAAAGCCTAGGTGTTAAGCTTTTTGGAAGACTCCAATTTAGGTTATTGTTAAAAACAAAACAAAACAAAACAAAAACTTCCTTCTCAGCAAAAGCAACACAAGTCAAGCTATGATACATTAAAATGCCTTTCCTTCCCAGAGCAGAGTGTTTACTTCAGTGATAGTAACAACACCTCATTACCAACAGTGCAGATTCTGTTAAGTAATGGACAAAGCAAATGGCAGCAAAGGCAGAGGACTCAACTTCAATTTAACTGTCCTGTAAGGTACATAGTAATTAGCTGCAAAGCTCTGAAATCTTAGCTAGCATGTTAAGTCTGCTACATGACAGTATAATTTGACTTCTTAAAGGATTATGCAAATTACAACTCATCATTCCATTACAGGATTGAAAAAAAGTGACAGCTAATTTATACATAACACACCTTTCAAATCCCTAAGATGCGTAGCACCTGTGCAATGTATTTTGCCGAGATTTTCTTGCATATAAGTACTTGTTTATTGCAATATAAAGAAGCTTACCTAAGAGCTTTATTAATATAGTCATTTTAAAAAACTTTTAGACCACAGTTTCAAAAGTATAAACATTTTTTTCGGTCTTGATTTCAAAGGCAAATTTTGTTGGCTTTTGTTTGGTTTGGCTTTTTTTTCCCACTTGATGAGAGAAATATAAGGTTTCAATACAAGGATATTTTTGAATAGCTGGCAACCACAAGCACTGATGCACGAGCCAGAAGGAAGACTCACAAAGATTTCAACATACTTCTGGTAGGTAGATTCACAGTAGATTCCGTCATATCTGTAGATTTTCCTACATTCTGATTGGTTGGGCAGAGGATGCTGGGCAGTTATT